GTTGATCATGTACATGAAATGGGCATTGTCATATGATTAATACAGTTAATTAAAACAGATTGTCATACATCTATATAACTAAAATCTAATTTCTATACATGTATTAAGATATTCATATGCATCGTAAAAGGGATTGTCTAAAAGCCAAGCAGTTACCTTTTTTTTAAGATTTTGGGTGTGCAGGTCCTTGCCGATTCATGCAGCTTGTTAAAAAATTTAATGCAATTTGCCTTGTGTGATATGCCGAATTTTGTCAATCTGTGCTGTGGAATATTTAATTTTGTCCTGTTGCGTGTTTCATGTTCATGTATTCCTTGCCTGGTGGGAAAAAGGTGAAGATTAGTTTTAGTGTAAATAAGAATATGTAGTATGTATAAGTTAATTACTGTTAAAATTTTCATTTGTATAAATAAAGGTCTACAGTGGTCCAATCTGCTAGCTCTGCACATAGTTCTAAGAACCTTTTTCCCCAGACAGCACACTTTATCCCAGGGACATCCCATAGTAGTCCCATATGTCCTGAGAATGACTCGGGATATGTACGCTAGCCTCAGGATATCCCGCAAAATCCCGGGACGAGTACGAAATCCACAGGATATCCTACAGTATACCGTAATGTCCCGGGATTTGTAAGTTAACCTCAGGATATCCTGTAAAGTCCCGGGATATGTACGAATGCCATAGGATATCCCAGAATGCCCCATGAAATCCCGGGACATGTACAAAATCCACTGGATATCCTGTAATGTCCCGGTAACAAACTGAAGAAAAAAACTACTACCACTGATGAAATGTATACCTATCTAAATTTAAATGTTCAACAAGGCCAATATATAATTATTTGTTTTATTCACTAGCTCTTTCAGAAACTAGGTTTCCATCTTCAGGCTGTGTTTGCACTAGTACAAAAAGTAAATATTTACTTAATAAATTAATTTTAAACAAAGTTAAAACAGATAATTTAAAGGATATTGGAAAAATAAAAAATAATATTAGAAAAATTAATTTTTTGAATTTTGGATATATTACAGTGTTGTTCTTGATGTAATTGTTTTCAGTAATTCCGAGTTTATAATTGGGCCGTCTTCATTATTTAACAAATAATTTTGGTCTGTTTTTTTCTATTAAATAAGATTCCCACGCATTAAAATGTTGAGGTTTTTGGTTTTATAATTTGTTTTAAAAGTTTAAGGTTTCCCAAATTGAAAATATGTCTTGTTAATACTGTGGCTAGCAAAGGCTGACTTTACTTTACTGACATATTACTTACTACCACTGAGTTCAGGAAAACTAGAGTTCTATCATAGTTGTGTGAAACGTGTGTTTAATTCTAACTTTAAATTAATAAAATAATCTAAAACTAATTTTAATCATATAACAATCAATTAATTATAACAGTGCTAATCTAATGGTAATTTAATAATATATATTCAAATGCCAGTATCCTCTCCAACTACCAGAAAAACAATTCAACTACTTGAGGCCTAAACAGATTAACAGAATCATATTATATACTGTAGTATCAAAAATTATTTAAGTATTGCGACCATATTGCAACTGTCAGCTACTCTTTCGCCACTTGAAAACACTCATAATCATCAAGCGCAGATAGCTCAGGAGGTAAGGTATGAGGCTCATAAGGCGAAGGTAACAGGTTCGAGACCAGTCTGGGCCAAAAACTTTTTTCTCGTTTTTTTTCTTCAAAACTTGTGTTTATTAACTATTTAATCAATTTACTCAACTGATAATTAAGCTTTTCATACTAAATCTATATTATTTTGTGTTTTTTTTGTTCAGGCCCAGACCACACGTTATCCCAGGGACATCCCACAGTAGTCCCATATGTCCTGAGAATGTCCTGAGGACTACCCTGGGATGACCTCGGATGTCCCACGGATATGCTGTGAGCTTATCCGTAGGACATCCCCGGGCGGGGACATTACGCATTCCTGCGGATATCCTGGGATATCCCAGGTTAACCATAGGACTATTATGGGATATCTTGCATATCCTGTCGCAATATCCGTGGGATGTCCTGAGGAGAAAGTGTGCTGTCTGGGTCTGTATCAGGAGAACATCTGATACAGCAGTTGCATGTCCCCAGAGAACCAGCCCATAGGATATGTGAGATTGAAATAAACCAAAGTAGGTCATTCTGAGATATTCATCTGACACAGATTCCCTGAGTTTCCAAAATAGATAGCTGACCCGTGAAATTTTTTTACAAAGGTTGTTGATGTGAACATGCCAAGACAATGTGTAATCGATATGAATACCCAATAGTTTGACTGATTGTAAATCTAGATTTATAGAGGTGCTGAGGATGATATTTTGAGTTTTACCTTGGTTACAAAGTAGTTTATTCGTGGAAAACCAGTTTAATGCATCCACCTGTCTGAAGAGCTCTATTTTGTCAGAATTTTTAGCAAAAATTGATGTGTCATCAGCATATATACAGTATTACTGACTTAGATCTTAGATTCTTTGGAAGATCATTTATGGCTATTACAAAGAAGAAAGGCCCAAGCACAGAACCTTGGGGCACTCCCATTTTGATATCAACAACATTGGAATTAGCACCCTGAATGGAAACATATTGTTCATACCATTCAGGTATGACCGGAATATACTAAGTGATTGATCCTGAACTCCATAAAATTTTAGTTTGTCAAGTAAGATATTGAAAGGAACACAATCAAATGCTTTGCTCAGATCTAACAATGACACAGCAACTGATTCTTTGCTCTCGAATGCATTTAAAGAGTAATCAACAATCTCCATGACAGCCGATGTAGTTGATCTTCCTTTGCGGAAGCCTAGCTGAGAATCAGATAACAGATTAAACTTATATCAAAATGAGCAGCAAGTTGTTTATGCATCAGAGTTTCAAAAACTTTTGAGAAAATCGGAACAATTGATATTGGTCTATAATTTTCAGGAGAAGATTTGTCTCCCTTTTTAAAAATAGGGATGACTTTGGAAATTTTTAGAAGGAAATAATTATGTGTTTAAAATGTGTACAAAATGACAATTGAACAGTAACAATAAAAACCCGATTTAATCCACTACTAAAGATGGGCATTTTTTTCGGTTAAAGGTTTTATCGGTTTTTAGAACAGAAATAGAAAATTGATGTAAAATGTCAAATTCAGCTTATTGGATATATTAATGTTTCTAAGATCGCGGGATAACGCTGTCCTTGCATTGCAGTCAGTTGTCCTCGCGATCGCAGAAGATGTTCAAATTTTCATAGCAGGAGATGGGCACTTTCGAATATAGCAGAATCACATAGACTTTAGAGTAAAGTTACTCTATAGTCCGAATTCAAACGACCACCTCAGTCGCTGCCTCCTCTACGCACATAGTTGAACAATGCTGATGTGATAACGCCAGTCGCCTTGCGATGTAGTTATAGGAATGCGACTGGTGACCAGGGCCGGTGAGAGACGTCAATGGCCCCTGGGCTGAGCGATACCGGCCCCCTATTTTCCTGATTTAGTGCCCAGCCACCTCCGTGCCGTTTTGTTACACATATAACAACAATACATATCAGAAATGTATGGTATTTTGATTCATTCTCGTGCTCACAGTTGCAACTTTATTCCATTCAAAGATTACTAAGTGAACTGGAAAACCATGTGAATTTCTATATATATGTAATAGGCTAAAATCTTCCATTTTTTAAGTGTAGCAAGTTTGGGGTCTTTACAGTAAGGGAAACTAAGTTTTTTTAGGCATTACACGAGGTCACCTGGCTCTTTTAGGGAAACACTCATCATATGCTAAAAGGAATGTCTTTAAAAAGTTTATAAAGTTTTCTTCTGTAGTACTATTTAGAAACACCTTTTCACATTCAACATTGTCCAGTGTTCCAATAAATCTATTTACATTAGCGGGTGTAATAGACCTTTGATAGGTAATAGGCCTACCTGGGTTTGGAGAGCTATTATTACCTCCACCATTGACCACCCTCTGGGACCGCTCATGAGTGTGAGCGATAGCAGGATGAGCTAATCTTCTTATGAGAGTAGGATCGTCATGTTACTGCGGTAAAACGATCATAAGTACACTGTATTCGTGTTTACCTAGGTGCAGCGTTAAATAATATAAAACCAAAACTTAAGTAATAAGCACAGAGAGTTAAGGATAAAAGAAACGTGCTTATGGGACATCCGTGCGCTTTCAGCGTGGTATGTTAGGGTGGAAATATCCTTGTGACGAACAAGGAAAAGCCCAAACGGCGAACACTGTGTGGAAATTCCTATCGTAGGACACCGGGCCTTCCTCCACCATGAGAGTTGTTTGTAGTTCATGTGGCCGAGGGGAGTGTATGGAGGAGGGACTTTGCCATGGACGCCACTTAAGATTATCATTGAATTTTTCCTCTGTATCTTACTATGTACTAAGTAATGTGATAGTGAAGTTATCGTATATTAGTTCCTATATATTATTTATTTTTATTCTATTTGGTAGCAAACTTAGTGATCAGTTTTTATTTTGTCACAAATAAATTCATCTATGTATAGGCTAAGTCGTTGGCATGCATTATTAAAAAAATAAACCTGTCTGGTCTTTACTACAATACATACCTGTTCGCGCTATACAGGATAGTCATACCACAGTAACAGATAAATACCCCCAAAACCATGTTTAATGTTACATCTTAATAAACGGAAAAATAAAACTTAAATGTTAGGCCTTTCGTCACTGTCACATTACAATTTGTTATCATTTTGAATTGACCACTCTCTTGCAAAGATTATTTTACTTTTCTATTTGCTTAAGATATGTTTTTTTTATATCTGAAACCAATTGCATATACGTGTTGAACCACGTTAAACCAACAACAAATGTCTTACGCTGTGCTGTATAAATAATCCATGCTTAAGTATTAAGTAAAGAAAAATAATCCCTTGTTAACATTTTAGTGTTCTTTGTTTTGTTTGTTGTCCTGTCTGTGCCTGTGCGTCTACACTACATTGTTGTCAACAAACAAAATTCTTCCTTCTTCAGTGATGATATAGGCTATGTGAATATTGTCTGTAAAGTAAATACTATGTTAGATACAAGAAATAAGTGAGATGAGATGTGTTATTAATACAAAGATAACTAGTATATAATATATTACATTACCACGTAAGACGTACCAGGTAATGAAAGCCATTTGCTTAATTTTATGATTATGACTTTTAGTTAATAGGTTCTGTCTTCCAAAATTTAATATTTCACAACATTAGGCCTATCTAAATTTCATCTGTTCCACAACTCATCAGATTAGTTTTGGCAAATCTTGATAAGTAAAAATTAAACTTTGTGTTTTGTTTGAGGTCTGTTTCATTAAAATTCACTTCAAGTCATTTGGGACTAAATTCTCACAGTACTCTTTACAAGTCTCTTATTCGCATTCAGGAAACCATGGTTTTGAAGGGGTGGCGGAATTGTACCCCCCCCACAGGTTTGTGACGTCACGATGACGTCTCATTTTCTCACCCTTAACATCTGAATGTTTTCAGCTGCAAACTGGCGTGTACAGGCTGAAATTGTACCTCTCTCATAAAACTTTGATATTGTTTTATCAATAAGATCGTAGGCCTACACAAGCAAAGCTACCTGTCCAAGAGGGGGGTAAAATTCCACCCCGTAGGGCATACACATTTGGTTTTCTGAAGGGGGTACAATTCCAGGGGGATACTATTCCATTCCGTACATATAAATTATTTAATTTTAGCAGGGGGTACAATTCCGGGCCGTACATCTCCTGCTCCTTTTAATTTCTATGTAACCATCCGGTTCACTGATTAAATATAACTTAATAGATTAGATTTTGTTAAAATCAACCTGTACGAGGTGGAATGAATAACTTCTTGATCATTATCGTACGTGTTATTAAATTACCTGAAAAAAAATAATATAGGCCTATAGCCTACATCTAATAACACTTGTAATAATATATTTACACTTATACTGTTGACTTACAAGACGGTAAATACATTTAAAAGTTGGTAAGTGGTGATCGATTTCGATTGGACACTCCAATCATCATCAGACTTAAATTTGCTTTTAACAAATTTGAGCAACTAGTGGAAGATGTTTTGTAGGGGGGATGCTACTGCCTGGCGTCATGTCCAAGGTGCGCGGAGGGGGGACAGTTCTCTACTGGTTTTCTACAAGCTGCTTGGTCAAAGTGCCTAGCAACTTATCTTCCACCTTAAGTTGTCATCTTTCTTTGATCTTTACTGATACTCTGTGGGAAACTAAAATTACTTAGTGGAAGATAGAAAAAAGTGGCTGTATTTTGTAGAAAAAGCAACTAACTGTATTTAACTAGTGGAAAACTTAGTGTGTGGATGGATGACTTTGGTGTGAACACGGCTATAAACCTTTCGATGCTAGATTTTTTGTTGTAATATTCCGAAAATTGATAAGGGTTATTTACTTAAGTTATTTTGGTACTTTCCTGTTAAAGAGAACATTCATTATTTTTGATGATTACTTTTCAAATATCGATATTTTATTTTTCTATCCGATATGTTGATAATAGCCTAACAAATTGAAACATATCAGCTGACAACTATGTTAAGGACACAGTAAATACATATTTTTCGGTATCAACAAACAATTTAAAAAATATATTATCTTGAAATGAAACTGTTCTAAAATATCCTAACCAAACAAACTCACTGAAAAATTTCAAAATTCCGTTTGATAGCCTATTCCCCATATGCCTTTTCTGTTATCAAACAGAATTTTGAAACGGTAACTTAGCCTACATCAAGTTTGGTTAGGTAGGCTAGTTATGTTAGGTTATTCTAGAATAGTTTAATTTCCTAATCCAACATAGGCTATTATATTTACCTAAACAAGGTTAGTTCTTAAATTTGTAATTTAGATGTGTTTAAAGATATTAAAACAGAAGGAATACGGATCATGAAGTAAAACAAAAATATCGATATATCGAAAAGAAATCATCGATAATAATAAAAGTTCCCTTTAACAGGAAAGTACCGTTATTTTGTCTGAAAAGTGCTAGGCTTGCCACGGGGGCAAAGTCTAGTGTACGAGAAAAAAATCTGTAAATATAAAATTAGTCATCTTAAAGTGTTAAGGAACGAATATCGGGCCTAAATTGTATGAGGAATAGAAAGAAACCATAGCTCTTTTGAAACAACAATCGAGTCAACCGATATGCCCATTTAAACATACACGATCAAAAGTCAAATCAGCACGATATATCACTGTTAAGCGCTTTTCGGATTAAAGGCGAACAACGATATATCGTTCCATAGCACTTTTCGGGAGAAAGATGTGCACAACGATATATCGTCTCATAGCACTGAAAGGGTTAAGGACCTAATAACATGCAATCGATCTTGTCATAGTTAGTAGAATCATGTGCACAACTAAGTTTAAATGGAAACAAACTAAAATTTCCCCACAGATATTTCTGTTACTCTACTCAAACGAACCACTTCCTTCCTTAAGGCTACACTTATTTTGATGTAGATCTGGAATTGGTCTTTTAGAGATCATTAAGGTTTAAACTTTTAAGCAAGTCCATTAGCTCATGTAAAACATGTATTAGTGTAGAAACATACAGACAGCATAGCGTAGCGCAGCACATGTTTTAAATAATAATTCATCACCAAACTAAACATGTAATCGAACGTTGTAGTCAACATTCTTGTGTAATCCATAAACTGTGACTCACGTTTCCTAAGGATTGGAAATAAGAGTATTGATATTCACCATGTTTGTCCCTGCCTTTAGGCTACACACTTCATGCACCTCGACTCTTCTCCTACTGATCAAAAACTGCCACCTAAAGGTATTTCCGACAAGACTAATACGAGCCGTCTTTGACAAAGCCATCCCTAATACTGATGTACCTCATTAAGACCGTCTACAACCTAAAATGTGATATGCTATGTTGCGCTCGGCTTCGTTACGCTGGGCTGCGCTACGTTGTCTGTACGTTTCTACACTTAGTGAATAATCTGATATCCATATACACCCTTAGTCTTCTCAAAGACATTAGCTCTCCTAGTCCGATTACAAGAAGTTGGGGTTGTAGGTACCTAGTAATGGTTACTTGATACTTGGTGTTTTTTTTCAACCAACCAGGTTGGATAGATTGCGTCTATTTACATTACATATTAAAACATGATACATATAGGCCTATATACAATTATCAAGAAATAATGGCGGGGGTGGCGATAGTATTTGCAAAGCTAAGGGGCTCGTCAAAAAGTTCTTGCCAGGAGTTCAATGGTCTAATAAGTAGCGTTGATTTGAATCCACTTTTGTCAACAGCACGAAATCCTTTTAGCAGCATATTACAAAGTCAAATAGCAAGTGATGGGTAGGAGTTCAGAGTGAGACTGAGTTGACAGGGGGCAGGTTTAGGTTACACGCTCTACGCATCCCGTAATCGTGCTGCATGCTTCTAGTCGTGAAGGATGACTCGTTTTCTTTCAGGAGGGCTAAGATGTTTAGGACATATTCCTAGCTTATTGACTATGTATGGTCAGTATATAAAGCTTCTTGAAAATAGGGCGACAATAGTCAGCTGTACTTAAAGATGTTATTATTAACACGTTCGCTACCGAGCATCACATATATGATGTTTGTCATTTAAGCTGACTGGGACGGGTGGCGTTGTCCTGTAATCCAGCTACTAGGAGGTCACGAATTGTGGATATTTATAGGCATGAACTGTGGATGCGATACTCCCTGGTGTGGATTAACGTCCGCACGGGTGAGTACTACGACTATCCGCAGTACTATCCTGATAATTAGACCAATTCGTATATACCAAGGAAAAAAGTGGTTCGGATTCCACTATAAACTGTAGGTCCCTTAGTCGCCATTAGCTGTATGTGCTATTAATAAACAGCTGTGTCTAAGGAATATGTCGGCCTTAGTCACTAACAAGACTACAAGATCGTGCCACTCATCATACACTCATCTCCATTCATACTTGGCTTAAAATACCTACTTTGTATGGTCGCCATTTCAAAGAAAAGTATAAAGTATAAAAAAGTATAAAGCATATATGCGACGCCGCTATCATTGCCACGGACCGAGGTATACAATTTAATCTAAACACATAGACCGGCTGTCACTGGATAACAGTACACGCAGACCACGGGTAAAAACCTGTTAAACAGTGATCATTTACTTTATAATACACTGCAATCGTGTTTCTAAACCATATACGAGTATTATTGTTTTTTTATATTTTTGATAACCCTTTGTAACGTTGCTAATTTGGGACGCCCGGTCTACAGCGAAGACAATAGTGAAAATTATCATATATTTCTGGAAATAGCCCAAACGCCGCATAATATGCGACAGTTAATTTTTGTTTGTGTTTTGAGGTGAAAGTAAGTAAAAAAACAGATTATTCAAGTTCAGTTTATAAATGAACAAATATAAAAGCTACATAGGATAATTCAGCATACATACATACAGTGATGCAGAAAAGTAAAGACCAGTTTTTCCAACTATCATATGACGTCACCAATCATTGTATCCACAGACCAAGCGACACAGTTGTAGACACCCTGTAGACCACTGCAGAGAATTCATTCTATTTTAATGTGACTAGCCGTCACATATATGCGACGGCAGTCTATGGGTAGAAACCAGCCGTCGCATGTGCGTCACTGGTCTATGTAAATGAAAGATTTTGTACTAATGCGGTAGCGAACGTGTTAATACAACCTTCTTCTGTAGCAGCAACAGACGTTGGGTGGCATAGCAATGTCCTTACACTGTCAGACCATGGTTATTGTGACCATGGAATTGCAAATGGCAGACCATGAGCAGATAGGGACAAACTGCTCATTAATATTAAGCTGAGTTGGGCCAAAACTTGCCATTGAAAATAAAATATATGTGTTATTAAGGTGGGGAGAACAGTATCTGTATTCAAAATTCCTCTTTAAAATCTGTTAAATAATTGATTTATTTATACCTTTTGGTTTCCAAGTTCGTTGATCTTGAGCAAGTCTAGTGAAATTAATATCTCCTGATTTAATAGTGATTTTTTTTTTTTGCTCGTATCTACGCCAGTGGCATTTTTAATACCAAATATCCATTGTTGACCAGTAATGACTGGATGGATTTAGTCAAAATATGTTTTAAGTTTTTATACTTTAGACGTTTAGCAGCTAACATGGCAGTACTGTAGTTACGAGGTCCATTCATCGTTTTCCTCTGTAAAGTATTCCTTGATGGAGTACATAGGCCGCTCCTTCAGTTGTTCCTCTACTTTGTCTTTAAAAAATTAGTTGCATTAGCAAAACTGAAAGCTAATGACGACTTTATTAAAAAATCTAAGAATAAAAGTAAAGAATCTTGGGTAGTAGTGAAAAATGAAACAGGACTTAATAAACAAATATCTGATACTCCAGTTGGGATTAAAATCAAACATGAAAGGGATGAATAAAATTGTGCAGTATTGGTAGCAAATAAATTCAATAATTTTTTTATTGATGTTTCTCAGTATGCCAACCAATCAACAGATAAATTAAAAGCCACTCAGTTACTAATCGAAAATCATCCACGTTCCAAATTAACATTTAAATTTAGAAATGTTTCAATTGACGAGTTAAGAAAAGTTGTTACATCTCTCAGTAACACTAAGTCCACAGGTTTGGATGAAATTCCTCTTTTTGTCATTAAAAGAGTTTTTAAATTTATAGAACATCCATTATGCCAAATAGTAAATCAGTCCCTTGAGGAGGGAGTTTTTCCTGATAAGCTTAAGTTTGCTGAGATTAAACCCCTGTTCAAAGAGGGCGATGTCAAGGATCCCTCTAACTACCGCCCCATCGATCTTCTGCCTTGTTTTTCAAAGATTTTTGAAAAAATTTTAAAGATTCAACTAGAAAGCAATAATTTAATAAATCCTTCACAGTTTGTTTTCCGCCCAGAACTCGGTACTGAAAAATCCATAACAAAAATGATTAACTGCATTGCGGAAGCCTTGGATGGATCGCAGAAGACTGTGGGTGTGCTATGTGACCTATCCAAGGCTTTTGACTGTGTGGATCATGAGATACTCATAGAAAAATTAAGTATGCATGGAATAAAAAATACTGAATTAAAATGGTTGATATCATATTTTAAAAACCGAAAACAAAGACTTGTCTAAAAAATGCAGAGAAATTATAAATCAGAGTGGAACATTAACCCCAATGGAGTTCCTCAGGGCTCCATTCTTGGCCGTTGTTTATTTATTATATATGTTAATGATCTATGCAATGCTACTAAGATGTCCACCTTTCAATACGCAGATGATACTGCTTTAATTTGCACAGGACAAAACAATGAGTTCATACAAGCCTCAATAACTCAGGAATTTCAACTCCTCGGGGACTCGTTTGCAGTAAATGGCCTGTCCATGTATCTGGAAAAACTCAACTAATTCAGTTTTCTGCATCCAATATTAACCAAGAAATAATTGTAAATACAAACTTGACTACAATTCATTCACAACAGTCAATAAATTATTTGGGAATAGAAATCGATTCACAACTAAATTGACAAAACATATTAGAAACCTATCAAAAAGACTACGCTCAGCAACATTTGTTCTCACAATAATTCGGGATACTACTAATCTAGAAACACAAATAGTAGTATATCACGCATATTTTTCATCGATTATGAATTATGGAATTACTGTATGGGGCTCATCAAGTCAGGCCAAAAAAATATTTATTCTCCAAAAAAGAGCTGTAAGATTAATGGCCAGAGTCCCCGGTAGAACACATTGTAAAGATTTATTTATTCAGTTTAGAATTTTAACCTTTTTAAAAGTGATTTCGGCACATTCATGGACTGTCAACAATCTCATCCACATAACACAAGATTCAAAAATATTATAAAAACAATTCAACATAGGCTTAAAATCTTTCATTTATCCCCCAGTATATGGGGCCAAAAATTTACAATAAATTACCCGTTGGGATTAAAACATTGCCTCATTCTCTAAATTTAAACTACCTATCTTTAAAATTTCCTTTTGGAGAGGGCATTTTACTCGTTAGAAGAATATCTGGAAGATGAGTATATTTGAAAGATATTACTTCTCCCATAGGTTTGTAGCTTATTATTTGCTTTATTTCTTTTGTAAGCTATTTTATTGTTTAAAATGTGGTATAGTATTAGACTTTGTGACAAATCGTCTGTCAAGAGAATTGATGTAATGTGATGATGTTTAATAAATAAATAAATAAATATCATTCCTAAGAGTTCTGGATATAGGCCTACAACTTTTTTGAGTGGTTGTATTATGTAAACAACAATAAATCCTTTCTAATTCTAACATATTTTTTTGTTGAAGTTTTCCTAAAATAAAATCAAGTAAATAATACTAAAGAGAAAGGTTAAGTTGGCGATGGCCCATACAAACCAAACCCAACCATACACCATGTAGTCCCATTCTCATTATTCATAGCTGACAACGAGCTCTTCTTGCAAAACCTGGCAGCAAACAATCTCTAAGGTTGTTTCAAAACAACTTTTTCCCAGTACAGTAATGCATTCGATTAATTCTCTTACGGTATAATCATTGCGAAAAAATTTACAGTCCATATCGCAAATAGGATCTCATTACTCTTTATTTTTGAAATATAACTTGTGTATTTGCAATAAAAACCTTTGTTTTAATTACTTTGTAGATTTATGACATTTCAAAGGAAACACATTTTATTTTGTCGTGCTTAATTTAACAAAAATACTCCTATAGTTTCAGGCAAAATGGCCTCCTCATCCAATAGTGCCAATGATGATGAAGAATTTTTCGACGAAGCATCTAGTACCTTGCATATTCCTCAAGAGGTTATGAAAGCCATAGACCAGGTAATTTATACAATCAAATGTTATTCATTTGAATTAATTTAGGGAAACTTGTTTGAAGTAATTTTAAAATGAAAATTATTCTGTGCTTCTGACTTCTGACTTCTGATACACATTCAAACTATACTGTATTACTGTTACTTAAAATTCTTATTATTGCTCTGTTATTTTGTTTTGGTGTATTATCGTGTTTTGTATCTATTTTAAAATATAGTTTGTTCAAAGATAAACAAGGAAACCAAAAAAACTGATTGATGAAAAAATACATTGTGAAATAACGTAATTTACTAGCAACAGAGCCTGTGTTGGTTAATTAACAGTCTCATAGAAAATAATGGTTATGAAATCCACACACCAGTTTACTCACTAATAATCATTGGTATCCACAGATTAAGCACATAATTTTAGAAACACACATAGCATTAAATTTGCTTATCCTTACAGTGTGTCTGTCTACCAACAACTTTTATAAAATAATTTGGATTATTATGTTCATAAAGCGTGGAAAGACATTTAAAATATAGGCAGTACTAAATCACCAATTTGCTTCTGGAGTTTTGGATTAATCACTTCAAGCTTGGTAAAATCACAGAAAACATACTACTATAACCCAGAATGCCAACCGCATGCGGTTGAGTGCATGGCAACGCTGGTGGCGCTGCCTAGGAATTGACAGGCAAAGCTCTCTCAAAACACTTAATGCTTTTTACCATGCGGTTGGCATTCTGGGTTATAATAGTATGTTTTCTGTGGTAAAATTGGGGTAAACTTTATTAGCACTCAATTTGATTGTTTGAAGTTATGATTAAATATCAGTTTGGATTCTGTTAAAAGTCTAGATATCGTATATAGTTTGGGGTAAGCAAATAAAGTTAAGCAAATAGTCCAAATCAATGAGATTAGATAACACTTTATACTATTAAGTCTTAAACGTTTTAAAAATCCTAAAAAATGATATTTTCGTAACATTAACTTTCTTATTCAGTGTTTGTATCTTGGAATTTGTTATTATGTTCTGATGTTAACCAGTTAGCTGTTCATTATTTTTCTCTTTACTTATAATACGTATCATGGTCCCTTCAAGTTCCGACCACTATTCTATTCGGTTGAACATCTTGTAAGCTTATTATTATTTTGAAAACTGAGTTTATTTATAAGCTCTTCCTAATAGACACAGTAACAATAAACTTAAATTTATGATATAAATAATAATTATCTTAATGTTGTCCATATAAATTATATAAAATGCTAAATCGAACCTAATTACAACAGCTTTGGTATTAGACAAAACATTTGGTATTAGACAATCAACTATACTTATCGAATAACAGAGAAAATAGGGAAAATCTTCAACAATGCAGGTTACAAACCAGCATACAGAGTTAAAACAAACCCAGTCCCAAACTACAAATTGACAGAAAGAATTAGCAAGCCAATAGAACAAGAAAGGGGCGTGTACAAAATAACATGTGCACCACCTTGTCACAAAGAATACATCAGTTACACCAACAGATCATTCAAACAGAGATTCAAAGAACATAATGCTAGTCACCATACCAACCCAGAATCAATAGTTGCCAAACACCTTAAAAGTAATCCGAATCATCACATTTCATTTCCTGAATCATTAACAATCCTAAAACGTACAAATTCTAAATCAATAGCTAAATTCCAAGAAAGCTACCATATCTATAAACATTTCCATAATTCAAACCCAGATACTCTTCTAAACAAAAAAGAAGATTACAACAATTCGATAATTTTCAAACTCATAAACCAGCTCGAAGTACAATATGACAACGTCGCAGAGACTTAGAATGTCTCTAGATATGGCAACTTAGAAGAGAAAGCTCTAGTATCATAAACTCACCCCCATCCCCTAACCTACCAACACCTCAAGAAGCCAGTACTAGGACAACAGCCGGGCAGTCGGACAGTGACATATGTTGCGCCCCCGGTCCGCGCTCGCGCGCCCGGAATTCCACACTTGCGCCATGAATCGTCCGCGAATGTAAAAAAGTGTAAATAAAATAGGATAATGCGTTTTTTAGTGACTAAGTGATGTGAGAAGAAAAAAGAAACAGCTCCTAATGATGCCACACTTGTGGCGAAATGTACATAGAGTGTTAACTTATTAATTCATCAAGAACCTGGCAATCAAAAGGTAGACAAAAACCCTCTGCTTCAAATTCATTACTTTTGTGTTAACCATATACCGATACTTTAATATGAACCTGAATGACAGTTCAGAATCAATTATTGTAAGTTATGATGATCAATTTATCGGTAATGGTATATTAATGGAGCTTTTAAATAACTAATGTCTTTGAAACTGTTCTATTATGTAAAACATTTTTTTTCAGGTTATTCCAAGTAACGACCCTCTTGATGATCCGGACTTCAATTCTATAGATTATATAAATTCACTATTTCCTACGGAGCAATCTCTGTCTAACATAGATGATGTGATAGCACAGCTGGAGTGTAAAATTCATGGTATTGATGATCAAATACGGACTGTAGTGAGACGTCAGACCAACGTCGGAAAGGTAATGTTGTTGGCTAAATATGACCTACTACTTTATATCTTATATTATTATCATTGCTCACTGAAGATCATATGTCTTTTTGAAAAAGTGCCTCTCAAGGGTGCTCAGAAATGTTTTGAAATACAGCTGATTATACCAAGCTTTTTTTTTTGTAACAATGACTTTCTGGTCTACAAAGAGACCAAATACTAACTGCTTACTGTGTAATGTGGCCGAAACAAATTAAGGTTTATATAAAGCCTTGCCTTCTTTACCAGGCATTTTAAAATTTTAAGTAGTTTAAGGCAGTTCAAATATCAACTATGGCCTTGCTTGACTCAAACCAGTTTCTTTTTGTTTACTTTAAATTTGTTTGATCATATTCTTTTTTGACTCTAATTGAACATTCCATGCTCAAAATAGAAAAACCGTAAACCACATGGAAATAAAGATAGGCTATTCAATCTATCTAAGGAAATGAATTTTTTTAAATACTGAAACTATTCTGTATTTTAGGATGGAAGAGATGCTCTTCTAGATGCTCAACAAGTTATAAAGCAACTCTTCCTTCAAACATTGGAGATTAAAAGCAAGGCTGAACAATCCGAGGAAACTGTCAAAGAGATAACAAGGGATATAAAACAACTAGATTGTGCCAAAAGGAATCTCACTGCGGCCATTACAACTCTGAACCATCTTCACATGCTTGTTGGAGGAGTGGACACTCTCAAGTATGTTGTTTTCTGTTATACATTTGAACCTTTACCATTATACAACTAAGTTACCATTAGTTTTTTTCAGGTTAAACTGTCATAATTATCTACAAATCCTATTTAGATAACTTAGTTCCTAAATTCCATGTTGATGGCCCCTGGATTACTCTATATGTCTAATAATTATGGTACAATACCTCGTAAAAAAATCCAAATGTTGATGTCAGGTTAAAAACCTACTTGTTTCACCGTAAATGCAGCATCGTCAGGGTTACAAAACATAAGACATCGATGTCACACGCACACAATAAATACACAAACACGAACATTTAATTGACATTGATAGGCCTGTCACACGCACACGACCTGGACCAAAATAACCGGCCACCTGACCTTTGTCCTACTGATAACATGGACAACAACGAGGAAGGAGTCTGACACTGCAGTCTACCTTCTGCGCCGGGACTGTCCGCGTCACGTGTGTGTGATAGGCCTATCAATGTCAATTAAATGTTCGTGTTCGTGTATTTATTGTGTGTGTGTGACATCGATGTCTTATGTTTTGTAACCCTGACGATGCTGCATTTACGGTGAAACATGTAGGTTGTTAAACTGACATCAAAATTTGGATTACTTGACGAGGTATTGTACCATAATTATTAGTCAGTTAGTTACTAACTAGCTACTTAGTTAGTTTTACTTTAGCTTAGTTTAGGTTAGGTTAAAACTGAAGCATATTGTAACCTTCCAGTTGAAATTCTAAAAAATGCAATATGTAGATTCAATGAAATTTAATAGGAGAAACAAACTGTTAAAAAATAAACAAACCCAATGCTGAGAAATGAAATACAGATTCAGACTTTAAACCCTACTGTGGACACAAATTCTGAGATATGCACTAGTATTTTCTCAAAAACGTTGTCAGGGCCTTAACGCTTGTCATCACATACTCTCGCATAAGTAGCTGTTTAATATGGTGGGAGGTACCCCATTGTCTTTTGTCACAAGATTTAACTATCCATTATGTACTCTCAGTAGTATTTGTGTGGGCCAAAGTATCAGAATCAACAAAATTAATAGAGTGGTTCACAGTCATATTCTGCAGTAAGAGTTAATAAAACATTCATCTGCTGATTGTTGTTCCTGGAGCAATGTTTTCAATTATATTTGGCAATAATGTTCGGGCTGTTCCATTTGGTTTCCTGGGTAGTATATCTGTAATATGAAATTAAATGAAAGATTCTTTACTTCACCAGACAAAGTTAGGGCCACATGTCCCTTACACTTACACGTAAAATGTCTTAAGGCCATGTCACACCGACATCCGCCGCTCCCGCCGCGGGAGTACCGCGCGCGGATGTTTTTCCTCGAGCCATGTCACACCAAAAGTTCGCGCCCGCGGCGGGAGTTTTGAGATGATTTCATTACAATTCGTTTTACATAAGAAACATCTTTACCTTTTTAGTATGCCATGTAAATTTGCAGGTTTTCTTAAGTAGTTAAGTGTATAAGAAGCAATTGAATGTTTATTTATTTGTTAGTGTACTTTAAAAAGTGAACTGTAATTAGTTTTTGAATTCAATTTTGACCTTGTGTTCGAAGTGCAAGCATATTAAATATGGTTGAGGGTAAATTATCCTTTTTCAATATTTTGAACATTATTTTTCGCTACACTACAAATACTTTTTAATTTTAAATAAAAACATAAGACAATTTTTAAACCAATGTAATTTTTTTGCTACGCCTTCTATTGAAAGTTCAAGTTTACATTGATTGTACAGTTTTGGTTGTTGCAAATTAAAACAGTTGATGAAATAATAAAACATTGTTTACGTCGGCAATATAAAAGATATGATGGGAAACCTTAAATTTTCGCCGTAAACATTATTATTGCATGGTAAACAAAAGTGATTTTTTCCAGTGATGAACATATTTCGAAGATAATACAAAACAACATATATTATAAAACAAAAGAAACATGTTAAATTTCATTTCAAACTGTATTAAATTGTATTACTTTTAAACTTTAAATAGCTTGGCCATTCGAGATGCCCCTTTGCGCATGCGCTAGATAAAACTCCCGCCGCGGTACTCTCAAAAAATCGCTGAGCAGGCGGACGTGGCGGACACTACCGCACGCCCGCGGGCGCGCGGTAGTGCGATGTGACTTGGCACATTTGATAACATGGTGAGGGATTTTTAAAAGTTCGCTCCCGCCGCGGGAGCGAGCTCGGTGTGACTTGGCCTTTACACTTAACCTGACATACATATACAAAGATATAAAAATACAATGAGATTTCTTAATCTAATATAAATCTACATATTTAACAAATTAACCCTTCAACGTGTGACTTTTTATATAGAAGAACACCCTTTCCTTCGGGAATTTTTAAAGCTTTGAGTGGGACTGTTACCGGTTTACAAAAAACCCTCAGTAATTAACTTATTTATGCATTGATTTTTATAATTATTTCACCAAAATAAAGAGCAGATTATAGGCATAAAAAATGTATAATTGAAATATTGAAATAAAAGTTTGTATGTAATACAATATTTATCAGTTGTAGGACTACTCTTATTTCTAAGCCGGATAATCGCCTCCCGCACCCGCTACTACATCATTAATTGTCATTTCTACAGAATTTGGTGGAGGCATGTTCATTTCAACAGGTGGCATAATGTAGGTTTCCATGGGAGAAATATGCCTAGGCTCATCATTGTCTTGGCAGAGGTTATCCCTAGGAGTAAAGAGATAAACCTCATTGCCACTCTCTGACTCATTTGTCAATAACTTATAAATCATTATCACTTACATCAGATATAAGTTATGTCCATCCAAAATCCAGCAATCAATCTCACTACTTCAAAACCAACATCAGTTCCAAAAACACAAACCTTTTGGTACTTTTACATCACTATGACAACACTCCAGCAGTTGAAGCTAGTAAAACAAAAAAAAAAAAAAACTAACAATAATACTCAAAATACTATTTTAGAAAATGTTTTACTAATCAAACAACATTCGCATGTAAACAAAACAAACAAGGCAGAAGCTGGGGAAATAGTGTGCTCTAAACAGCTGATTAATTTCAACACCAGAGACAACAAAAAAAAGTAAAAAGGATTTATTTTAGTGGTTTGTGTAATATATTTATATAAGTAATATAACAGTTTTTACTATTTAATAATTTACAAGGCTATGCTGGCAATATTTAAATATGTACGTTGAACTGTAACCGTTTGTATTTCCCACTACCAGTTAATAATATTTGAATAAACGAATGCTATTGGACGATCGGGTCACGCCACTTCCCCAACCCATGAGTCCATGTTAACCGACACCTCTACACCTCAGTTATAGCCAGCTTCCATCCTGAGTAACTCCGGCCCGTTCGGTCGTTAGCAGTTTTACAGTGTTAAACCGTAGTGCTTATTAACTTCCCGATTCCCGTAGTGTAAGACGTCAGGGTGACGTAGTGACTTAGTTACAGTGAATAAGGATAGCACCGTGTCAACGAAGGTACGTCAGGGTGACGACACTTCAGTGGCGACGAGGACCATTGGAGCAGTTTTAACGTTCGGGAGTGAAGCGTCGGTCTACGTCCGGTACTGTACGCGTAGTGTAAATGGCTTGTTTTAGCGCCATAAAAAGATTTTCGTTAGTCTGTGTGGGGAAGGAATGAACATAGAGAAGTTATTTAGTGAAGGATTTAAGTTCGGACATAAAATGGCGGGAATTATAGGAAGCGTCGGGGAGTTCGACCAACACGAGGAAACGTGGGACTCGTATATTGAACGTTTCGAACTATTTTTAAGTTGTAATGAGGTCAGTGAAACGAAAAAGGTTAGTACGTTACTCACAGTAGTTGGTGTAAAGACGTTTAAACTTTTGCGAGATTTGTGTACACCGGACAAACCGTCTAGTAAATCGTACGCTGAATTAGTAAAATTAATTAAAGACCATTTGTACCCGACCCCATCTTTCATTGCGGAACGATATAGATTCAGCTTAAGAAATCAGTTAGAAAACGAGAGTGTTTCACAGTATATCGCGCAATTAAAGCATTTGTCGACACATTGCGAATTTGGCGCGAATTTAAATGACTATCTACGAGATCGCCTGGTTAGCGGCATCAGAAGTGATTCAATGAAGCAGAGACGTTTATCGGAATCAAATTTAACATTCGAGAAGGCAGTGCAGATGACGTCACAGTTCGAGATGGCGGAGAAGAGCGCGGCGTCACTTTCGGCGGGAAGCAGCGATGGTCACGGCGGGAGGATCCAACGCATGGCGGCGGCATCAGCTTCAGCTTCACCACGCCCATCAGGTCAGCAACCCCGCCCACAAGGTTCAGCGCATCACAACACCGGAAGAGGTAGACAACAGCAACAGCCAACATCGTCTGCAGCGGCGTCGGCGTCAACGTCAAATGATAGAGTGCAGTGGCAGTGTTTTTGTTGTGGTGACTTCGGTCACATCGGCAGGAATTGCCGTTTTAAAGGTTCGACATGTCACAAGTGCGGTAAGAAAAATCATTTAGCAAAAGTGTGTCGATCTCAGCAAAACAGTAAGTCACAGTTTCAGTTCCGTAGTAATAAGAGTGATTTTAGATATAATAGAAATAAGCATCATAACTATGTAGATGAGGTATCTGATGATGTAAGCGTAAATGATGATATTGAGGAGAGTATAGGTAATCTGTTTGAAATTAGTGAAGGGTCCAGTAAAATAACTAAGGTAGATCCTTTCAAAACAGAGGTTATTCTTGAGAACAAATCAGTAACTTTTGAAGTTGACACGGGTGCTTCGGTAACTGTAGTAAGCGAGGCTTATTACAAAGATAATTTGAGTGCTTTGAAATTGTTTCCTACTGACATAAGGTTAAGCTCGTACACTAATGTGCCAATTTACCCTGTGGGTAAGCTAGAGGTAAATGTTCAGTTCAGAGATAAAAGCAAGACCTTAAACTTGTACGTAATTAAGGACGGAGCTCATCCCCTTATGGGACGAGACTGGA